TTGACCTCATGATTCTCATTTGCTCTGACATGCACTGTGAGCTGTAAAGTCTTATATACAAATATAGATATAGCTATATGGCTTTCTTAATCAAGTCTAATCAGTATATTTAAACACAATTGGACTGTAATGAAGGTGTAGAACCATCTCAAGGATGATCATAAGAAATGGACAGTACTTGAGTTAAATATATGAGTGTCACAGCAAAGGGTCTGAATACTTATGACCAGGTGATATTTCAGTTTTTCTTTTTAATAAATCTGCAAAAATGTCAGCAATTCTGTGTTTTTCTGTCAATATGGGGTGCTGTGTGTACATTAATGAAAAAAAAAAGAACTTTAATGATTTCAGTGAAAAATTTAAGGGGCTCTGAATACTTTCCGCACCACTGTATATAATATGTATATAAACAAACAGTAAAAAAAAACAGTATTAGTAATAATAATAACTGTATCTGTATTTTAAAATGGGATATAATTATTACATAAATATATGTAGAATACCAACATTTATTCACAATTCTCCATATTTTATTTAAACATTAAATACATAGAAAGTCGTAACTTATTTGTATCATCTGGAAGTTAGGTATATGTCAATCAGAGGTGCTTAGAAATAAATAAAAGCATTGTAGAAAACAGATAAGTATAGTCCAACCTAAACATTGAATTCCATTACGCTCAATAAACTGATTAAAATAAGTCATATTTTTTATAAAAACTCATTTTAGTCTTACAAACACATCAGTTTTTTTAATTACAGCAGAGTCTCTAACTCAGTCTTATATCCATAGAGAATTAACAAAGTGTCGTCTGTCAAAAAATAGAAGTAAGATAACAAATAGCCTCTACAAAAGTTAAAAACAATCAGTAGTTTGAGTAAGCCTCCACTGATTTCCTTTTCTTTTTATGCTTGGTTATGTCTACTACCTCAGTTGCAAAAATAATAATACACATTTTTATTACTTTCGCCTACAGGTTAATTTCTTTCCTCAAACATCTTTAGAAAAATGGCTCGTCTTTGCAGACCCATTCATCTGGCTTGTATACAAAAACCGGGTTACTTTTTGTCTTTGAGTTATCTTTTCTGAAAGTTTTGTCATGATCACTCTGACTGCTTGTTCTAGGTCCCACCATATTTATTCGGTTACTATTGCTGTCTCTCCTGCAGGCCTGCTCTTTCACGATGTAATGCATAGCAGATTGCAAATGTAGGCGTTTCTTCCCCATCCCATGTTTTACCTTTGCAGTCACAAGTGATTCATGGCAGGGTGATAATGAACTTTTTATGTTGGGATATGTCACATCCTGGTACGTAGTTACACATTTCATTTCTGTATTATCTTTCATTTTAGGGTTACTTGTATCGATGGGAAACTGTCCATCTTCCTCTTTTTCTCTTTTTATATCAATGCATCCTTGGTAATCCATGTCTTCTGTTTTGATGGGTTTCTGCTCATGATCCTTCAGGTACTTAGGAGATGCCGTGATGTCATAACTATATCTCTCCTCATTAATGGTTTGATGTTTTTTCTCGTGGCTTCTTTTCGTTGCAAGATAAAGGAAGCGCTGGGGACAGAACGAGCAGCAATACTTCTTTTCTGGATTGGGACTTAGTGTTGAGTTGTCAAAGCAGGAGCCACTTTCCATACAGCTGTTGCAAATGTAGTCACCACCAGCTGGAGCTTCACCAGGGGGACCCTGTTTACCACAGGTACAGCAAAAGCATGGATGAGAACCAATAACATGAGCCCTCAAACCCGTTTTAGTGATGAAAGAGCTATCGCAGATGTCACAGCAGTAGGTGGCCCTGGGGCTGTTTAGGTTAAGACTGAGCTTTACTTCTGCATCACTTCCTGAGATAATCTTTTCAGTCTTCCGTTTGCCCCTGTCGAGTTGGGCCTCAGTCGGAGCAGAAGCTTGATCCATTAATGTTTCAGAAAATTGGTGAAACAAAGCCTTTCTTTGCTTCAGTCTCAACCTTTTTCTTTTCTTTTTAGCCTTGTAAGAGTAGTAGGGCCGCCAAAGAACATCAGCTGTGTCACAGTCATTGGGACCGTCAAACAGTTTCTTCCTGGTGCTGGGGGTGACGTCTGGCTTTAGGAGGCCTCCGAGACTCTCTGAACTATCACTCACCCGATGACATTGACCTGAACGTTGTATTCCTTTGACGTCTCGAACTTTCATTTTCTTCTTCGGAAAGAGCTTGGATCCTTTGATTTGTCTGCGGATGATGGCTTCATTGCCTATTTTCACTGTTATCTGACAAAGCGGAATGGTATCACCATTCATGGACGGCCCCGGGCACACTGGTTTAGCAATGTAGGTCTCAGTTTTGGACCGTCTAAATTTATCATGCCTGACATTTGCTGTTGACCGAAGTAATTTTTTCATATTCTCAACCTTTTTTCCAGAAGCTGATAGTTCGCCTAACTTTTTAACAGTATTGAGAGAGTTTAAGAGTGCCACATTTTGACCGCAATGGTCTGAGTTTATCAATGGAGACGGATTGTTCTTGCAAATCTCCAAATCATGTTGCGTAGACAAGACATTGTGGTTGATGATGGTAGAATCTCTAGTCTCAGTTTCTAATTCACTATTCAAAGTTTGATCAACCTCTTGGTCACAAGACCTCCCAAAGCTAATGCGAGGAATCACAGGAGCCACTGTCTTTGTTGTTGCCATGAATGTCAAAGGCAATGCCACAGCATCAGGCTGGCTGGTCTGTCTGTTCTCTTCCAGTAAAGGCATAAGTAAGTTGTTATCCAAAGACGCTTGGTCTCCCCCTTCTGTACTTTCTGAAAAAGTATGACTGTACGTTTTATATTGTCTCTTTCTGAACTTCATTGGCAGAAGCCTGTAAAGTTTGATTGGATAAACACTGGCTTTCAAGCCACCATTTGCAGATTTCTTCTTAACAGATAAATTTGGATCAATGCCGTGAAATGACTTCTGATGGTTTTTTAAGATATAGTACGTCATGAACGTCTCCAGGCAGAAAATGCACTGGTAGCGTCGTTCACCAGTATGCCATATTTCATGCTTGGTGCGATACTCTGCCAAAGCGAACACTTTATTGCAGTAATGGCACGGATAGGCTCTTTGCCAGGAGTGCACATTCTCATGCCTCTTTAAACTGGATAGAGTGACATAGACCCGCTTACACACACTGCAGTTATATTTTCTCTGAGTTCCTGCTGGTCTCACTGCCTTTGCATTCCACGGGCTGTCAACTATAGGGGGCTCTGTATTAAGAGTGTTCAAAAGGTCAGTGTTAGGCTGTACCTCAAGGATTTTTGTACTTGAACCATCACCCAAAGAATGATCCGTCTCTTCAACTGAAATTTGACTTTCTACTGCAGGTGACGTCCTTGCAGCTTTACGGCAGAGTTGCTCGTGATTGCGCAGCCGTTTTAAGTGAATAAATTTCCTGTGACAGAACTTGCAGAACAAATGGCTGACAAAACCCTTTTTGTGTACTTCTGAGTGAACAGCTAGAAGAGCGTTATTTGCAAATATCTCTGGGCAATGTTCGCAGCTGTAGATCGAGATGTTCTCCTCTCGATGTGGAGAAAGGGTTGGTGGTCCTAGATCCGTTTGACTGCTGTTGGTGATTAAGCTGGTCGTTTCACAGTTTCCTCCTTCTCCTTCTGAAAAAAGTGGAGGTGGGGTTCTGGGTGCAGTAACTTCATCAATATTGCTATCAGTTGAAGTTGTTACTTCTTTGTCTGTCTGAAGTTCAACTTGCGTTGAAAGAATTGTTTTACCCAAAATGCCTCTTAGTTTATGGCGTTTTTTAAGTGGTCCCGTGTTCTTATAAAAGAGCATCTTGGACTGTAAAATTGCTGGCTTACTGAGCTTCCTGTTTTCTGACTGACCGCTGTCTTTGCTTTCAGTGGATTTATTCACTGCATACGAGTGCTCTGAGAGGGCCTGAGTCGTCTCATTGTTACCATTGAGACAGGACGTTTTAGGGCAGCTGGATGGTAGCTCTCCCACATCTGGGGACTGCCTTTGCCCACTGCTTTGAACTAAGGGGGCAAAAAGGTTATCCCCAGGACAGTCCTCAGTTATAGAGAAGGCATTAGTGATACGTGGCCCTCTAGAACCGTCCATATCCTCAGGTCTAGAAACTGTCTTTATATTTGTAGACACTGGTCCTGGGCTGACTTTAACACCATCGTCATCCTGTTTCTCTTGTTCGGCAAGCTTCTCCAAAAAAGGAATTCCGAGTCTTTTCCCAGCTGCTACGAGACCCACCGTATCTCCTGCACTGTGCAAAGTCACTGTAGAACAATAGATGAAGTTGAGGATGCTTGCAAACACCTCTGACTTCAAGTCCATCAGCTCCAGCACCTGTCCAGAGCTCCACGTGTTGGGAGCGGTGAGGGCATTTCTAAAATAACCACTGCAGGCTGCAAGGATGTTCTTGTGGGCTCTAAACTTAACATCTTCTACCACAATGGTAATGTCACAGAAGAGGCCATGTAGGCGCTGCTCATTGAGTTTGCTTAGCACAGCGTGGGGATGAGCACTGTCCATCAGGTTCTGTGTGCACGGGAAAACCACTCTCATCTAAATAAGACAAGGGAAAAAAACGTACATTAAGTTAATACATCCTTTACAAATTAACTGGCATCACGTACAGTACAACATCAAGAAGCTGGGTTTATTCTAGTGTTTTAACACTAGATGGCAGTAATGCCCCATTGGTCGGCTTCAAGTTCCGGTCAGCTCATCAACACATCTGTTTTTTGGAAGAGTCTGCATGATGTCGAAAAGCTTTAGGACAGACATTTAATGGATATAATTAATTAATAATTTTTTAATTTTAATTTTATAATTTATAATTTTTCGGGTTATATGTACACAGGACAGCCGACAAGTATATAATAAGAATCTAACACAACTTGTAACACCTTTAAATTATCCTCATTTCCAACCATCGAAACCTTCTCACTTTGAAGGTAAATGTGATCTCCATCTAGTAATGTTCTTCAGTATGCCCTCACATTCATATCACATTTATGTCAGTGGCATTTGTGGCAAGTGATTGGAGTGTACATACTCCAATCAGGCTGTTCCTGTAAATTCACAATTCACAAGGGACTCAAATGTTAAACATATTTCACTGTAGAGGGAAATAAGACCTTTTCTTTTCACTTCTCTCAGTGATTTTTTTTCCCACAGTGTTTTTAAGCCTCCAAAGTATTTCTTAGTTTTCTGCATAACCTTGAGTGTGACACTGTATAATTAGAATGGAAAGCTTATGACCTATCTAGTTTTTTCAGCCATCAGTCAGCTGGGAAGGGCTACAACTACCTCTACTTTCTTTAGCAGGATAGTGTTCATTGTTTTTTTTGTTTTTTTTTTAAATTGTTAACCAACGTCAAACATACTTCTAATTTTCTCACACATTTTAACGTTTTAGAATGTAGATATATTGTATTTAAAAGTGAACAACATTTATTCATTCATTTATCATACTGTATTATTATTATATTTATTATTATTATTATTTACTTTTTTTTTCTTTTTTACATAATCGTTTGAGTTTGCCAGTGTACGGTTAATACAATATGGCTGCCATTTTGTAAAGCATCTCATGTGGGTGAAAACATATCCAGCCTCCTGCCCTCTGTCTCAGACAGGCCTCCGTTGTCATGGCAACATGCTATGGCGCAGCAATAATTAGGATTCAGCGATATGGCGATTGACTTTGTTAACAGCCTGCATTTTCCAAAAATCATTCTTAATATCCCACCTTGACTCAGAACCTTTGACACACAGCAAACCATGACGCTGTTGTGGTTTGGGTTTAGCTCTGCGTTAACATACTTCATGTCTTTGTATTAGTCAGTGGGTCTTTGTTTGCAGGAGAAATACCTGCTACCTTAAGGACCTTCTAATATGGTAACCCTAAGAGATGTGCAGTACCATACATCAATTTTGTCTCTTCAGTAGGGACAGTTTTTGTCTTTGCCTTAAGGTTGCATTTCAAATTAAATGCCAGTATTGCTTTTTGGAAGAATTGTACCGATTGGAGCAGTTTGTTTGAACGAAAATTTGAATTTGTCTCTCTCTCTGCTCATGACTTTGCCACACCCATGTCTGATTTTATTTCTACAGTATCATTCATGTGAAGTTATTCTCTTTCTGAACATCACTGCCTTTGCACAAAAAGGCCAATCATCAAACCACAAACCAAGAAATCTAAAGCATCAAGGTGGTCAAAAAGCGAAAATGAATGTAAAGGGCTTTTTCATGCACCTTTTCAAAAATGACTTCTGCAAAGACACAGGTTATTAAGTAAGGAAAGCCCTGATAAACATACCTTAGTAAACCTTAGAATGCGATGCAGAGAAAACAGGAAACGATATGATGCAGTATTCCGTTCGTACTACATATACAGCCGGCTGTACATGTAGAACAATTTGGTGAGAGCAAAGGCGAAAGTAGTTTTCTTTTAGTGATGGTCGCTGAACAGTGTCAAAAAGCACTGCTCTTTTTCTGACGTCTTTCTTCCTCTCCCTCCCTCTCTGTGTGCAAAAGACTCCAGTTCCAATGTCCTTCGCTTCTTTCCATGCAGCCCAATACCTGGACCCTTTCCTCCTCTTACAGTCCCACTTGGTGCAGCTGCACAGCTGAAAAGATAACTTGCGCCGCATCTACAGCATGTAGCACATCCAGAGTATCAAACAGTCTTTGTGTTAGCTAGGCAACTGAAGCCATCTCACTCTAGACACTGCGCAGGAAGCTGCAACTTTTATTAAGCATTGCAGAAGGCTGTGGGAGAGCGAGAGATGCTGGGTGCTACATCACACGCAGTAGTCGATGCTACAGCATCAGAAAATGCTCAGCTGCATAGCTAATAGCAGCTTACGGTGACGAATGATCTGATGAGCAACAAATATTGTAACAAATCCCACATTACATCATCAGCTACTTCTCCATGAGAACTGGACGAATGTCTTTTGCACAGAAATACTATATCTTTTGTAAAAAAAAAAAAAAGAAATGTCATAATGTGCAGCAACTATGCCAGCACCGTGGCTCGCTAGACCAATAGTTTCATGCTTCTGACGTTGTATTACACTGTAGCCCCTTCGTCCTTGCATACACAGTCATAGTGGTTAGGTAACGTCAAATCTAAGAGAAGATAGTCGTGATCTCTGTCCTGCTGTGTTTAACAGCAGTCACAGGACAAGTGCTGCCCGGCAGTGGCAGCGATTTGAAAATGAATGCAAGACAGAGAAAAAGCTGTGTTGTCAGCCTAGAGTCTGGGTGTAGATATATATACAGGCTGCAGCAAGATACACAAACAGCAGATGCGTCAGCACTGCAGACGAGGGGGAGGGGAGGAAGCTGAATCCGCCATGGCACTGCGAGTCTCCGGCTACGGAAGGAAACAGCTTTTTTATTTACATGAGTGAGTGTGCAGTCTTGTAACTGTGTGGGCCTTCCCCTTGAGTTAGCTCAAAACCAATTTGAAACAGCTTCTGACAATAACTGGACATTATGGTCTCACTCAATGTAGAATGCTGGAGATAAAAAAAAAAATCTCTCGCTTCTTTTTTTTTGATATTATTTACTGTTAAAGTGAGAGAGGTATTTACTGAGTTACGGAGGTTAATAGTAACTCGTGTAGTGCTGAGGCTATACCTCAAAAAGTAACCAGAGAAAACCCACAGAGACCCGCCATTGCAATTTACTATAGAAGATCTGTCATCAAATAATCAAACCTGTTACATGTAATATACTATATACAAGCAGTTGTGATGTAAAAGGGCGTCTGTGTCTCTATTGCTGACCAAGCCGGGTTGCTGCCTACAGTGACTGCCGATCGAGAGGGACGGACATAATGTAGTGTAGTGCAAGTCAAAACCTCATTGTCGAAGCCCTATCACTTTTACCACACAACATATGGCTGCACGGAGCAAACACAAGTCACTGACTCTTGCTTATAAAATAACTGCAGGGAGCGCTCCGGTATATCTAAACTCACTGATAAAGGCTTATACACCCAATCGGATGCTGCGCTCATCACAGGAGTGTCAATGTGTCTTGTGCCCCATCTCTCCTCACACAAGGCGATCTCGGTCATTCTCCACCCTGGTTCCAACATGGTAGAACAAACTACCAGCTGCCACAATAGCAGGGTCCTCTCTCTCTCTTTTTTTCAAGAAGCACTTAAAAACGTTTCTCTTCAAAGTAACAACTCCTATCCTAACAGACCCACTAACATCTAACACGCACCTCTTCTTACTCTATGACCGAATATGACTATAACTGTACTTTTTTTATTTATTAATTAAATGTATTATTTATTATTATTTATGTATTTTGTATGTTTACTGTAGCTTGATTGTTGATTAACTGACTCAAATTGTTTGGATAAAAGCATCTGCTAAATGCATTTGAAACAGCTTCTGACAATAGCTGTTGCTGCTGGTTGCCTACCAAAACATTTTTGCGCAAAAGGTCAAATACAGTCTCTCTGTTGCTTGCTCGTAATGACAAAAGTGCACCTAAACCGTTCCCATTAGCTAAGGTTGGGGCCCTTCTTCTTCACTGCTGCCTAATACAGCAGAGGTCTCGTGTTCCTGCTGTGTGTGAAGTTTGCCTTTTGGATCTGGCTGGAACTACAGCATCACCTCTGCTTCATCACTGACCGATCCTCATAACTGAGAACTGAGACGGAGGCTTGAAGCAGTAACTGTGTCAAGTCAAAAAGGATAAGCTGAAGTGTGACTTCTGAACCTGACTTTAGTGGCTAAGGGCTGCTGTGGTATTCAGGAAGTTGGTCTCAGACACAGATCCTTTATTGTTATGTAATTAGCTTTTTTCCCCCCTCTCCTGGTCCAGGCTTAACCGGAGAGACGGTATCAAATGTTCATGAGATAATAGGCTATAGTACCTACCAGTCTGGGTTTAAAGTGAGATGTCAGATGACGCTGACCTGTCATGTGGGTATTCAACATCGATGACGTTTGTCAATGATAGTAATTGACCTGTTGACAAATATGCTGTAAAACATGGTATTTTATTTTAGCTCCCTTAAAGTATGTCATAGGTTATCTGTGAGAAAAACAAACAAACAAACAGGATAACCCCTTAAGTAACTATGCATCTGTCAACACACCACGTTATTCCCAATCCACAAAAGAATTATTAAAGAACACGGTGAAAAAGTGCACTGCTTTGACTTACATTGCTGTAGCTGGCTTGTGCAGGGTTCCTGAGGAAGAGAATGCTGTCAATCCCCAGTTCAGTAAATGTGTTGTGTGTAGTCTTTTGGCCTGGGTACGGCAACCAGAAAAAAGGCACTTGTTTTGCACACGTTACCCTGTACTTCATTTATTTGATCCTCCTCCTCGGATCATCTGATTCGTATTTCCCTTGGCAAATAGCTCTCTCTGCTGGTCACATTGTAAAACACAACTTGGCAACCCGAACGGTTTACATTGCCATCCTACTGTATATAGTAGTACTCTAGCTAAGAGTATGTTTATAATTTTTAATTAATAACACACTAAGCCACCACTGCCCCAGATGTGAACATTATCAAAATGATAACAAATGCATTTTTTAAAATTACAAACAATAACCCTTTGAAAGCGTTTTACTTCTATTGAGAACACCATGTTCCAGAGAATAAATCTTTCTTTCAATTGTGTTTTAACATGTTCCAAAACATATATTCCAAACATATATATATAGTAGTACTCTAGGTAAGAGTATGTTTATAATTAATAACATTAAGTTACAAGTTACCTTAAGTTACTTTTTTGTATTTTTTTATTCATTTACTTTACTTTAACTCAATGCATGTTTTAGAAATATATTGTTCCTAGGGTGAAGAGTTAAGTGATGTTCCAAACAGCTCTTAGCATTTCCCACTGCTTTTGAACAAAACTACCATGTCGAAAGAACTCTTTTTCAAGCATTTCCCACTGTTTTTGAACAAAACTACCATGTCGAAAGACACATCCCGTGGTGGTGGAAAAGACGTTAAGTCTGTTTGAATCATTGGCATGCATCAAACAGAGAAACAAAAAATGTGTCGTAAAAAATAAATTTCCTTTTTTAATTTCCTTTTTTAATAATATCTAACAATGATGAATCGAATGAATATGAATGAAAAGTGGTAGCCCAGGCATTTCAAAAGCTCAATTATGTACTTTTAAATTTCCTTTTTTTTTTAATAATATCAAACAATGATGAATCGAATGAATATGAATATGAATATTGAACGAATATCAAAATGATAACAAATGCATTTTTTAAAATGACAAACAATAACCCTTTGAAAGCATTTTACTTCTACTGAGAACACCGTGTTCCAGAGAATACATTTTTTCTTTTAACTGTGTTTTCTCCTTTCTTTGTTCAGACTGGCAGACGGGATTCCAAACATGTATTTTTTAAACTGGTTCTTCATTGTGATACCCATTAGTTTTATGTTGCATGTTTTGCCCTTGTGCTGCAAAGAACAATACAACATTTTGGTTGTGGTTCTTTAGCCAAAAAGCCTGAAAAACTATCGTTTTGAAATCAAGTCCCTAACAGAAATTAAGTCCCTAAAAGGTTGAACGTGTAAAGATGATGTCCAAGGGGTTAATATGAAACATTTCCCATGACCATCCAGTAAGTAAATACCCAATATTAGTTTAATTGTGCAATCACTTATAATAACAATTTATACACTTCCATTCCACACTTTGGGGTCACCCATAGAATTTTGTGTTCCATTGAAACTTTTAACTTTCACAAGAGTTACAAAATATACAGGAAATGTAGTCAAGACATTTAGAAGATTAGAATAATGATTTTTATTTTAAATAATAATTATTTAATAATATTTTTTTTAAAAACTTTGGCATTCTAGCTGTTGATTTGTTGAGGTAATCTGAAGACATTTCAACCCCACTACTAGTACTTCAGACTTCCCACAACTTGGATTGACTTGATAGGCACTTCTGGCGTACCATATGGTCAAGTTGCTCCCAGAACAGCTTAAGGGGGGGGTTGAGATCTGCGGACTGTGCTGGCCACTCCATCACATCTTCCTCTGTCCAATGTCTATGTTCCTTTGCCCATATACTCGTTTCCTTTAATTGACCAGCTTCAGATATGGAATTTTCTAAGCCACGCTACCTAGAAAATCAGGATCCTCTTCACTGTAGATGTTGACATTGGTGTTTTGCAGGTACTATTTAATAGAAAACTGCCAGCTGCCGCCTGCAGTATTTCTCAAACGAAAGACTTTAATGAACTTGCCGTCTTGCCCAGTTGTGGACCGTGGCCTCCCACTTCTCCTTCTACGCCTGTTTCTGCTGCTCTCTGAAGAGAGTAATACACACCATTTTAGAAAATGTTAAGTTTCTTGGATATTTTCAAGCTTTCATTTCTAAAAACAAGAATAGACTGTTGAGTTTCACACGAAACTTCTGGGGTGTTTTTTGGCGGCCATTTTGAGAGTATAAATGAACCCATACTGTTCTGTTTTTTTGGCCATTTTGAGAGTATAAATGAACCCACAAATGAGATATTGAGCTAGCTCAAAGGAAGGCCAGTTTTATAGCGTCTCTAACCGTTTTCAACTGCACTAACATAATTGCACAAGGTTTTTCAAGGGTTTTCTAAACGTCCATTAGCCTTGTAACGCAACAAGCAAACTTCTTCTTCTTGAAGCTGCATTGCAGGTATTGCCCTGCCACTGCAGAGCAATGCATGCAATTTCAAATAAAAGGAGGCTTACATCATGAACAGTTAAAAGTCATCAGAGTCCAGCCTTTGAACAATGATAACCAGCTGGAAATTGAATATTCAGGGTTTTTTTTGCATTCACAGTTGTCATATGTCATAGACTGTGTTTACGTTGGGTTTGTTGAGGAGAAAAGAATAAAAGAAATTATTAAATATCAAGATAGTTGTGTATTACAACTACCAAGGCAATAACAACAACAATAACAACATCTGTAGTCCCTAGACAGGTAATAAGATTTCACAGTGTAAAACTAAAAAAAGATAAAATAAAGAATTAACTCTACATAAAGGATGGACTATGCAATGACTAAAATAGATGACTAAAATCGGGGTAATCAAAAGTGTGTCATTAAAAGTATATACAACAGGTAAAAAAACGGAAAACGACGATTGTTTATACATCAATTATTATTAACCGAATATTCGAATTCCTTTGTTAATTAACGCTTAGCGGATGGGGGTCACGACTCAGCTGATTATAATGCTTTGTTTGTAACAAATCACATTTGCTAATTGCTTTAGTTCTCCATTTCATAGGACAATTAATAGTTTTATGCTTTGTCACAAAAAATAATGTTTTTAATAACTAGAAAATCAATCAAATGTTGCTCGCCAAAGAACATGTGTAAACTGAAAGTAATCTATAGTTGTTTTAACGTAGAGCAAGTAGTGCCAGAGCGGATGAATCAGGCGGATGTACACTGCAGTTGTAGGCTCCTCAGCTGATGTGAAAGTAGCTGGGTGAAGGGAGAGAGAGAGAGAGAGAGAGAGAAAAGAGGAACTGGTGCACTCTGTTACTACTACAACACTGGAACAAATAGGTAACAACACTAAACAAAAGGCTGAAATTCTCAGTGACATGTTAGCCAACGGTCTCTCGGACCTTCGAGGTCGTTCATTGTCGAAATACATCGGAGGAATCATATTTCAGTGCCGCTAAATGATCTCGAGTCCCGCTCCTGCTCTCCTGTTTTTTGTGTCTAAAAGGTATCACAGGCCAGTTCTCCTTTGCTAAGCTAGCATTACCGTATTAGCCTCTTGCTAGACAAGTTGTAAAATGTTAACTGGATTTAACCAAATCGTCCCCAAATTCTGACCAGACTGCTGTTGTTTCCCCCCCCCCAAATGTCGTTACTATTAAGCTGAATTCGCAGAGTTGGGTAGTGATAACAAAGGTAACGTTAATTACCCTTTACGCTAAGGTTAGCTGTAATAGCTAAAAGAATCTTCTTGTTTGATTTGCCATCGCAAAAAGTCAGCTACGTGACAATCATGTAGGTGCTTTTTTTTTTAACGAAAAATAGCAGTAAACGTGTATCTTCATACGGAAAACGAAATTAATAGCAACAATAACTAAACATTCAGTTGTTTGTTTTTGTCCATGTTATGTTGACAAGTGGATGGTCATTGCAAAACATTCGCTGTCTTGCTTAGCTAGCATTAGCTTGCTACTGTTTAGCATTAAGGTCTTATTTTTATGATGTCTATCTGTCTTGTACAATGTATCTTCGGTCGCCTGTTTTATAAATCACGACATAATTTGTGATTTTGACGCGTGAATTTATTATTACTCGTTTTATTTAGGTTTGGTTAGCGTTTGCATGACGCTACCTAGCGCTGTAGTCTATGGCCTTAAGTGAGCTTAGAACATAATTGGTGATTCACCTCAGCAAGATAACCCAAGTCAGGTCCGCTGGTGTATTCTGCATTGACAGTTCCCAGGAGACTGACACTGTATCTGCCTGCTTACCTACCGATCTGACAGTTGTATATATTTTTTATTGTCCTGTCAGTGAAACCACAGAGACGAGATGCTAACTTGCGCGTGAGACAACTATATTTTCTTCTTCTGTGACTCACAGAAAAGCAGGAAACCAAATGTTAGCAATCGCTGCTTTAGTGATAGCCTGCTAGCTGTTTAACATTAAACCGCTTTTGAAACACGGTCCCTAGACGATGCTGCCATTTTCCATGTGTAGCTTATCTCAGGTGAGAGCAATCGTCATTTGTCAGATGTTAGGAGTCGGGTGTCGTGCAGTATGCGGGGTTAAAACACATCTTTGAGTCTGTAAACAAAGTAAGAGAGATTTTTCAGGTTGTGTGTGCAGTTAAGGAGCTAAATGCACTGACGCACCGGTACGCCAACTACGCATTTCCAGAGTGCTACTGCTACGTTAGCCAACGTAACTTTAACGGGTCTCTGCTTTTATTACTAAGATTATAACATTTCTTCTGCTCAATTTCGCCATTGTAAGAAACAGGCCGTTTGAGCTTTGTACGTCCAAGACACACTTATATGCTGATTTAATGACTGTTAAAAGTATGAAGCAAGCTAAGATAATAGTTGCTAAAAATGCTAACGTGAGTCGGTGGTGGTGGACAACTACGTCAGTAAAACAGGCCGCTGTTATCTATCTATCCATGTGTGTATATATATATACATATATATTTATATATTTATATATATATGTATATATATATATGTATACACACATACACAGACACACACATAACTGGCCAATGTCGTGTTGTGTCACAAACTGGAACCTTTCTCTTTGCCGATCATTTGACGAACTTGGCTTGTTAATATAAATGTCCGAAAATGGTGCAGCAGTTTTCCGTATGGACGAATAACCAAAGACTGGGATGCAGTGTCAGAACGGACCTAAAAGGCCTCGACATATATTTTAAAGTGTGGTGTATTTTTAAGATGTAAAATGTCACGTCTTGATCCTTTACTAAACTGCCTAACTGATACTTTTTAGTCTTTTAGAAGACTTGGAAAGATGTAAGTAGTTGATGAATTAATCTCAGTGTAGTGATTGATAACGTCAACCTACAATGTGTATTCAAACAAGTCCCTCACTTTTCTAATCAATTCCATTTTATTAGTGGACATTACAATGAGAATCGGGTAGTTTAACAGTTTAAGACAGTTTTTGCTAAATGTCTTTTCTTTTTAGGTTTTGGTTTTTCTGTGAGCATGCTAATCATTACCACAGTCACCTGTGTACTGTGTTGTCAGAGGAAGATTGTGAGACATTGTTATAAATCAGTAGATACCCATTTTACTGTATAAAAAAACTGATCAACAGTTAACTATTAATGGGTCATGGGTTCTCTAAAGCTGTCCTTGATCAAGTCTTGAGTATTTTTTTTCTTCTGAAATGTCTTAGTGCTAAACTGAAAGCATTAATGTGACAAATGTGGAAAGAAAGCAAAATCAAGGTCAGGGTCATGTGAACATTATCTGAGCTAAAATGACATTTCTTTGACATTTTGTGTAGAAGTAGTCTGCTTTACACCAAGTTCTGCCAGAGCTTTTGTTGTTTTTGAAAGAACTCACTCTGATTTTTTTGTATATGGCCAAATTGATTCAGGGATAATTAAGACACACTTATTTTAGATGCACTAGATGAAATAACCACATCATTGACGTTTCCCTCACTTCTCACTGGTAACAAAAAGTCCTGGTTAATAGAATATAAGAACAAATCTCAGGCTCACTGTGGCTAATATGACGTTTCTCTTTCTGTTTTATTTCAGTGAATGGTAGTGTCTAGAAAGGGTATGTCCCTTCAGGAGAGAGGTGCCAATGTCCAACCGGCCTAATTCCAATTCAGGGGGGTCACTGCGCCGTTCACAGAGGAACACTGCTGCGGCCCAGCCACAAGACCATACAGTAGCGGGAAGGTAAGTGTCCTTAAAAATACAACCACTTACTCTGTCTAAAATCAGGGTCAGTAACAATATTTTTTTTATCATTCCAAATTGACACACTAAAAGAGGTCTGTATTAGTTAAGGTGCTTGTGTAATCCTGTTTAAAATTAAGACCTTTTTGTTACAAATGGCAGCCGTTTTTGGGAACAAATGATAAATTAAGGAGGCCCCCTTTTAAAGTTACTCCAAAAGTGTATGCAAAGAAATGCTGGGTCATTTTTTTAAATGGAACGATTACAATATTTCTTGGGGCTTAATTGTTGAAACCCACATTGTCACTTGCTCTTTAATGTCAAACCTTACAGGTTGCAGTCAGAGCAGGTAAAACAAAAAGCTAATTCCCCACCTGAAAGCAGAAGACCTAATTCTAAGGCTTCCAAAGCCACAGCCAGCACAGCCACTGGCCAGTCCAGGGGTCACAGCTCAAAAAGGTACCCCTTCTCTCGACTTGGTGCTTCATGTATGCTTGTGTAGATGCATTTGCTTTATCCAGTAAGATGTGAATCCACACCTGTAAGCTTGACTGAATACAATGATTGATAATTATTGAATGCTTTAAAAACAAATACCAGAAGATTGTGTTTTGTTATCTTTCTTGCTCCCTGCCAGAAGCGGTTCTACACTGTCAGTGGCTTCACCTGTGTTACAAGACGACCCTGGCACTGCAGGGACATCTGAACAAGAGAGACCAGGCCAGTCAAAGAGCGAAGGCACCCGAGGGTTAAAACGAAGTGAAGCTCCAGACCAAATTAGTACTTTTGCACCAACCCCTGCCAAGAAACCCAAGTCACTCCCCCCACCCCGAGAAAATACCTCAGACAACAAGAAAGGCTCATCAAAGTCTAAAAAGAAATCACTTTCTTCAGAAACACCTGCATTGTCAGGTCGAGGCCAGAGCAAGAAGAGTGTGCCCACAGGGGCCGCATCTGTCCAGAAACGCAAGAAATTGGACTCTCTCCCCGGCCTTAGTAGCACTGCTGGGTCCCTCCCCAATCGCACAGAGGGCAGAACTGCAAAACCCTCCAAGCTGGCGTCTAAATCGGCCGCCTCAGCCAAAGCTGGGTGCAGCAACGTGACGGACTCATCTTCCTCCTCTGCTTCCACCTCTTCCTCTTCTTCAACTACAGGCACCAACAGCACTGCCTCACAGGGCGCCAGAGTCAAGCAAGGAAAAGACCAGACCAAGGCCCGTCGCTCTCGTTCAGCCTCTAGCCCCTCCCCACGTCGCAGTACTCGTGAAAAAGAGCAGGCCAAGGCCGCCAGCTCGTCCAAATTTGAGTGGGCAGCACGCTTCAATCCCAAAGTAAACCTGCCAAAACCTAAACTGACCTTACCTGGATCGTCTAAAACAGAGACCTCCAAACCTGGGCCATCGGGATTACAAGCTAAACTAGCAAGTGAGTCACAGAGTATGTTTAATCTGCTGTATGTCAGAAATACACCTTTCCTGGTTTTGCTAGGGAAGCATTATACACTGAACTCACAAAACAATTGATGATTTTTTTTTTTGTTCACAATATGATTTATCACTTTTTTTTTTAAAATGAGCTCCAGACAAATTATGTCCAAATACAATTATTCTTTATTTGAACATACAAAATGCCATTAGTGAACTTGTGTACCTCAAAAACTCAGTTTTATCTTAAATAATAGATAAAAAAAAATACAACATGCCATTACCAACTGAAGTGAACTTGTGTACCTCAAAAACTCGGTTTTATCTTAAATAATAGATAAAAAAAAAAGCATATTTCTTTACAGAAACATGGCACATTATCATTTATTTCCTTTTATTAAAACTTGTCTAGTCTTATTTACTTCGTCTGCTAACATCGTCAATATATTAAATAACATACAATATTTTAAAAAACGTAACTGTAAAGAGTTCCTTTCTTTACGGAAAAACTGTAAACCTGGAACTTTGGATTCGTAGCATGTCACAACTGGCGTTTTTAGGCGCATACAACCACCTATTATAAGAGAATGTCAAGTCTCATGGTATGAACATGCGAATTGTCTACAGATTTGTATCAATTTTTTTTTTTTTACCAATGCACGATGCAAGGCCAAGTGGGATTGTTTGGATAAGAAATGATGATTACCATATTTAAGGAAAAGGGATTGTTCTTGTATAGTTCGTGCATAGCTGTAATTGCACACCTTGGAATAGATGTCACAGGACCTGTGAACTGAGCTCTGAGACAGCATCAGGTGCCACTGAGTTAAGATGCACCTCAACCTGCACGGTTTTCTTAGCTCTGATCGGAGTGAATGCACTTAGTCATTTTACAGGTAGAAATTCACAAGTCTTCATCCAGGTATATGTGGATCCAACAGACATGTACATCATATATATACGTACAAGTTTGTGCCTTTACTGCAGTAGTCAATTATACACGTGTTCAGTGTGGACAGAGTGGGTGAACTGGCTCATATTGCAGACTAAAGCACCTGTAGCCTGAAACTGGAGATTAGCTAAATACATAAATACTCCTGCTGGCTCAGTTGTTTTTTTTTTGTAGTAGTTGTGGTTCCATAGGTATTGAAGGAGTAAGTAGTGATCCCGAAACAGGTATTGAACATGTTTAATGTTTCTAAAGAACTGCCATTGTTCACCAGTATGGTCTCCAAATAATTATTGATTGAGTAGAGCCTACTTTATTCGACCTCCTTTGACTGAACTCCGTCATTCAAATGTACAGTTGGGCTCCACAGCTGAAGAAAGAAATGAACCAGGCGAACAATATATTGATTTGACAACTGATGGTGGACTTTGAGCACACTTGTTATCAGTTTGATTACAGTTCAATGTTGGTTTTTAAGTCTAGCAAATTGTCACTTTTAATGGAGCAAGTAGTTAATTGAGTCAGTGGTAGTGTAGTATCACTAAAGATAGGACATCTGTCTATTCATGCTCATACATTACATTAAAACACCTGCATGGTGGACAAAAAACAATGTTTTTTTTTTCAATCTCTCTCTCATTCTGTTTACACTTCCTTAACGGTAAATAGAACAGTTTGTCAGGCTCGTATGTAATTGTATTTAACCATCTTACTGTGGTCGTCACTCAACATCGCTCTCTTTATCTATTTAGTATATAGGTGGAAATAATCTACAGCTCTAAATTAACAGCATCTGTCACGTATAAACAAGACTGGGCTAGTATTACAGGGGTATGGGTTGTGGTGACTCCTGAATTGCATTTAGAGCTAAAGGATGGCATTGTGTTGGTGTCACTGTGCCGTTGCCTTTGATAGAAGTTCAAAAGTAATACTACGTGTCTCTAATGCATCAATTATTAATTTAAAACCAAAGCGTGAGCATTGTTAAACAAGTTAGTGAATTAAATGCATCAACAGCTGACGAAAGTAAGTTTCGCGCCGTCGAAAAGAGGTTTGATGTGTCTAAATTATATAAATGCAGCAATGTTGACTTTTGTTCCCTGGTGTGAAAATTAAAAAGAATAAATAAATAAATAATGTAAATCTGCAGCAGAACCTTGTGTTGCATGATTAGGTGACTCTTTGGTCAGGCTGTTATTGGTAGCTGAAAGGATATGAACGGACGTGGGCTCTGTGCCATTGGCCATTGGCTCACATGGTCAGATCCTGCCTAAGTTGGCATTGGTGTTTGTCCCAACCAGCTGACCAGGGTCAGGTTTGAGAGCAGGAGGGAGCTTATACTTTCTTTCTGTCAAGAGAAAGAACTTATTCTCTGTTAGGGTATCTGTATCTCTGGATTTTTACTAGTTTTTATTGCACTTTTTTTTTGCAACCGAGACAAACACTTCCAGCTGTAATGGTGAGTATTTACGGCACTGTTGAATGTGTTACTGTCATACTGTAAACATTTCCAGTGCCTGTTGCACAATGGTTTTTACTTCTTCATTTGCAATTTTGTTGGTGCCTTAACAGTATGGTGGATTGTTTTTGTCCTGAGATATTTCTTATTTCTATGGGAACCTGCAAAGTCTTTGAGAGGCTGTGTGGTTGGATACCTTCAACGGTATACAAATCAATGGTTTTGATTATTATGAATGGTCTCAATATTTTACCTTAAATGTTTCTTTTTATACTTGTGATTTATGAGTCATAGATCCAGCTTGAAGGTTGCCCTGTCATAGGGCCATGGTTGAGTTACTATTAATAGCCTTCTACTCAGTGGGACGGGCAACAGGGAAAACTAGAGCCTTTACTCTATTGAAGGGTGAAAATAATCTTAGCCCCTGTTAGACAAATCCATTAATCACACACTTGGAACTGGCTGTTATATAAATGTATTATATGGGTCCGAACCGAAATGGTATATGTATACTGTTTACCGAAGATGATCAATGAATTGGCATTTGCCTCATTGTTTTCTTTTGGGGGGGGGGGCTTAAAGACTTAAACCCAGTAATACCCTTAACAACATTTGAATGTATTCAAATATACTATACATTGCAAGAGTTGTGTATTTTAAGATGTCAAAAGTACTAGCCTTGGTTCTTTTCCATTATAGGCTTGAGAAAATCTTCTAAGAAGCGCAGCGAGTCTCCCCCAGCAGAGCTCCCCAGTTTTCGGCGGAGCACACGCCAGAAGACCACGGGCTCTTGTGCCAGCACCAGGTACAGTAACTGAGATTAAAGTGTCCCCTGTCAAGTTGTACCTGCAATTTGAACACAACTCTCTCTAAATTATCATAAATAATGTGCAAAGATTTTGTGTAAATATTTCTTAAAAAAAAAAAGAAAACAAAATTGCATATATATTTATATATCAGTGGTGCTGTGGCCCAGAGGCAAAGTCATTGGTGTCGAACCCCAGGGTTCACCTCCTGGGCAAGATCGAATCCCGGTTAGGGCGGTTGGTACCTTCCAGTGAACTCACCACCCGCAGGAAGGTTAAGGGCGGTTGGTACGGTGCAGTGTGATTTGGGTGGCGACTGCTGCCCCTCGTGACCCGGTAATAGATAAGCGGATGAAAATGGATGGATGGATTTATAATATTTATAATATCATTAATAAAATGTGTTGTTTCCCCTTCCCAACAAACTGGGAACACTCACACCAGTCAGCCTCGTTTTATCAGTACGTTAGGAGTTAAGAGTGAAATTGGCTTTTATTTTATTTTTATCGTTAAATGAGACTGGTATGTCCAAGAGGGAGTTCTTCTTTTGGCTTTGTCCCTTTTTTTTCCCCCAGGGGTTGCCACAGCGTATCATTGATTTTCATATTGCCCTGTTCTCTGCATCTTCTACTCTGACTCCAACTATCTGCATGTCCTCTCTCACTGCATCCATATATCTCCTATTTGGCCTTCCTCATCCTCAGCAAATAATGGAAAACACGGACCAGTCTGTTTAAATGGTCTGTAGTGCAGACAGGTGGTGATATTTCCACCTGTACTGAAAACCCTCTCTAAGTTGTCCAGTTTCAAAGTAGTTCCAAATTACAGAATGACTCTTCCCTTTGTTTTCAACTCAAGGCTGCCTTTTTCTGCCATTTTTCTAAGGTAAATTACCTGCTCTGATCTTTCTCAAAATGTCCTGAAAGTGAAACTACTGTTTGTATTGTGTGTGGGGGTGCAACACACTACTGTAGTGTGTCGATGTTTTGGAAGTACGTGATCACGGGGTTCACACATAGACCTCAGATTGGAAAATGGATAACAGTTGCGCTTTGCGGCCGCTGAACAAGTGCTCTGGAGGGAGCGATAAGTTCAAAACATCCTAAGAAAAAAAAAAAGGCAATACTAATGCAATAATTAAGTGTCAGAACAAGGTGTGTTCTTACACCGAGCATTCAGTTGACTTCCACTGTGTGTGTGTCGTTTTATATGTAGGAAAATAAAGTAGTAGTCTAATTTTTCCAGTTCCAGACAAGGCGGAAGACTTTGCGTGATTAGTAAGAGTATTCTTAACTGAATACTCAGTATTCAGTTAAGAATAGCAGACAATAATGGAACAGCTAGAACTTAATCTCTCGGGAGTATGCTTTGGGAAATGTATGTATGTATGTATGTTAATACACACATATATACATACATACATATATATCCCTCAGTACATTGCAGATTTTTTTTTATTCCAATCTTGAGTCTCACTATATTGTGGTATTTTACATTAAAACATTTTTTATTTACAATTTTTCCATTCACATGATTAAAAACCTTTTTCCTAAAAAAATGAAATGGGTAAAATATAGCAAAAAAAAAAAAAAATCATTCACATGATTAAAAAACATTTTCCTAAAAAAATGAAACGGGTAAAATATAGCACAAAAACAAAACGTTTTGCTAGCTTTGTCTACGTAGAGCAGAGCGAACACAGCATTGAGCGTGCTCTTCTGTACTTCACGCTGATTGGCTCATGCATCTCTAAGCACCCGTGTCTGTCTACCACTCGTTGACTTTGCTCTGCGCCGTAGTATGTTGCTGTTAAGTTTGTGCTCTTGTGTTTGTTGAAAGTTTCCCCTAATTTAACGCCCTACGATGCCTTCCAAACGCTCTGATCGTCTTCTCAGGCTTCTGTTACTAATCCCAAACAAAGACACTGACACAGATGACAGTTAACAGCCTTTATTTTTCTTTACAATAACTAAGTAAATAAGTGTGCTCCTGTGCTGTACCCCCTTTCATCAACGGTCCGTCCGTCCGTCTTGGCCAGTACTTGCACTCCTCTGTTCACTCTCCTCTCTCCTTGGTTCCGGCTTCTACTTATATAAGGAGACGCTTGATTACTTGAATTGTGTGTCCCGGGTTGCACCTGCGTTGCCACTCCCGTGCTCTCCCTCGTGCAGCTGAGCGCTAGCCTCCGCTGTGCCCCCACAATGTGCATGTACATCGAATTTTAATTTATAATTAGAATCTGTTTTCCATTGTTGGTCATAGTGGTGTATTTAGTTTATTAATGTAATATGTATGTCTTATAGTTCCATTATACAACATTACTGTGCATATAACTTTTTGGGATAGGGTAAGACAGTCTAGGGAGGGTTGATAAGGGTGCGGGGGAGGTTCGTAAAGGGTTAACACATATATGTGTATATATGTGTATATATGTGTATATATGTGTATATATGTGTGTATATATGTATATATGTGTAGATATGTATATATGTATATATGTATATATGTATATGTATATATGTATATGTATATATATATGTGTATATATGTATATAGGTGTATATATGTATATATGTGTATGTGTATATATATATGTGTGTATATGTATATATGTATATGTATATATGTATATGTATATATATACACACATATATACATATATATATTAATATAACTTTCTCGCCTCTACATCGCAGATTTTCCCTTTTCGCGGTTGGTCTTGGAACGCGTACTGAGTAGGGCTGTTCAATATGTATGGAGCTAGAACAGTCTCAAATAGAATAAATACACAAACAAGGATTCACAAATGTATTTTTGAAAATTGACAAATGTATTTGTGTATACGATGTATTTTTTGTTTTCAGCCAAATACTCGATTAATTGGGGTTTCCCCTAAACCATTATAGCATAATAGAATAACTTTGTGTGTGTGTCTCTGCGTGTGTGGACACAGGGAGATGGAGAGGAGAAATTTTGCGGCAAATTTGCGGTTCACGTACATTATTGTCATTTTAATATATCTTTGTCCCATCTCATATTCCGAGTTTGGTTTGTTGTTTGGTCAGTTTGGTTGTTACAAGACCCAAGACCAAGTCGATCCTAACACACAAAATATTAGTTATTATGTTAGTCAGTAGTATTATTATTGTAGTAGTAAAGTTTTCTCTTAGCAAGCTGTGTCGATTTTTTTTTTTTTGTTGAACTGACAGGGGAAGTATACATGTGTGAGCACTGTTTTCTTCTTGAAATTCAATTGCATTTGAGATGGATGAATGCGGAACAATTATAAATTCACAAAAACCGACGTGCATCGGTGCCTTCCGAAGTTTACAAACCAAAGAAGAAAACACTCGGTGAAACACCTGAAAGATGGAGACCTTGACTTTTTTTAAAGAATCCAAGGTGAGTGAGTTTCATTTGACTGTCACTTGTGTTACAAATATCTTAACCCGACTATTCATTCCGTTACTTGGGCTTGAGAGCCAGCTCACTATGTTTTTAGAGGCACAGACTTTTAATACTCGCTCAGGCGCTCTCTTACGTGAAGAGATGGTTAACATAATGTAACAATACCTTCATCTACGGTGACATTATGCGATGCTCCCTGACATGTCTGTGTCTAAGCTTATGTTATTTGATCTAAAACTTTATTTTTCTTTTACAGTGTCAGTCTGAGGATGTTACTGACCAAAAGAAGCAGGAGGAGGGTCACACACGAACACAGCCAAAAAAATGTTTTTTTAATGTAAAATAGTTGATTGATGTTTTTGTTATTTATTAACTTTTTTAAGAGATCAATATGTACATGGTTTGTACAATAGTTGACTATTGTTTTTGTGACTATATATACTATCAAAGCGTACCATGCTGTTAAAAGTACAGTGATCTTTAACAGTACTTGACAGTTTGAAACACTTTTTAATAAAATAGTAAATGTAAAAATGCACAAGTTCTTTTTTGTTTTATTATTGTGGTATCGAATGACTATCAGGAATTGTGTAAATTGACATGTATTGGTATTGATTACTGGAATTCTGGTATTGTGACAAAACAACAGAATATCCTTGTTGTGACATAAATTAAAGTTTAAACTAAGTTTTGTGCAATTCCTTTTTTTTCAAATCAACCCCTGTTATTCTGTTTGTCCTGTGCCACAGTCGGCGAGGCTCAGGCCTAGGCAAGCGCGGGGCAACTGACGCTCGCCGGCAAGAGAAAATGGCCGACTCCGACAACAACCAGGATGGGGCCAACTCCTCAGCCGCTCGCACTGAAGAAGCATCCCAAGGGGCATCAGGTATCCAGCATGCTTTTTTTTACCACTCTGTCAAAACAACTTTCATTATGTCTTATATTTACATTTTACTTTTACAGACGCTAATATTTTCCTATAATGTTCATTTGTGCAGCTTCAAGCTCAGTGGCAGGAGCGGTGGGCATGACCACCTCAGGAGAAAGTGAGTCTGATGACTCTGAAATGGGAAGGCTGCAGGGTATGTACTATGTAATATTTTGATGTTCTGCAAAATACCAAATGCACAGCCGTATCTAATGCGTCCAAATATGTTATATAATTGAGACATTGTTCATCAGTGATATCATGTGTCGTTTTTTGTTTTGTTTCTAAATCCTGTAAACCTTGTCGACTGTATCCTTTTAGCTCTATTGGAAGCCAGGGGACTCCCTCCACACCTTTTTGGGCCTCTGGGACCCCGCATGTCACAGCTATTTCACAGGACCATAGGCAGTGGTGCCAGTCAGTAGAACTTTGTTTTATACCCCATGACAATGTTGTCTATCTTTACTAAGCTTGTAAATAACTAATGAGAACTTTGCCTCACTCCAGGCTCAAAAGCTCAGCAGTTACTGCAAGGCCTGCAGGCCACAGGTGACGAGTCTCAGCAGCTTCAAGCTGCCATTGAGATGTGCCAGCTGCTGGTGATGGGAAATGAAGAGACTCTTGGTGGGTTTCCTGTTAAGAGTGTGGTGCCTGCTTTGGTGAGAGTCCCTTTTTCTTTAAACATTAAATATGTATTGTGATTTGATGTAAATATATTAAATGTACCTAAATTTCTTACCTATGACCTATTTTTTTTACTTTTACCTTTTTGTCCAGATTACACTGTTACAAATGGAGCATAACTTTGACATTGTGAGTATAATGAATTCCTCTGTGCAGCTGCCTTTGCTAGTCTTTGTTTGATTTGTTGTTCTAATGCTGCCTTGTTGTTGTGCCTACCTTCTCAATTGTGTACACAGATGAATCATGCCTCCCGTGCTCTCACATACATGATGGAGGCACTGCCACGGTCCTCTGCTGTGGTGGTGGATGCTATCCCTGTCTTCCTGGAGAAGGTAAGGCGGTGTCTCCACACACTTCACAATTGTCAGTGGTGTTCCGTTAATGTGCAAATGCCCTATCACCTCCTTGTTGTACAGCTTCAGGTGATCCAATTCATTGACGTAGCAGAGCAGGCCCTAACTGCCCTGGAAATGTTGTCACGGCGACACAGCAAAGCTATTTTACAGGCTGTAAGTACTGCAATGTTGTTATATAGGGCTTTTGCAGCCATTCATTTACCTCTGGATTTAAAATTATTTTAATATCACAGTTTTCTCTCACACAGGGTGGGCTCGCAGACTGCCTGCTCTACCTTGAGTTTTTTAGCATCAATGCCCAGAGAAACGCTCTGGCCATTGCAGCAAACTGCTGCCAAAGCATCACTCCAGATGAGTTTCACTTTGTAGCTGATTCTCTTCCACTGCTGACTCAGAGACTCACTCACCAGGTGTGTTACACTTGTCAAACTGATTAAATGTCCCTGCTCTTAAACTCTAATTAACGCTGTGATCTTCACAACTCATCCTTAAAGTATATGTTAAGTACAATTTCTGACATTCTATCAAACCTGTAGGATAAAAAATCCGTCGAAAGCACTTGTCTCTGTTTCGCCAGACTTGTGGACAACTTTCAACATGAAGAGGTTCGTGTCACAATTCTTTTAAGTTTTTCTTTATTGTTTTGCATCATTTTCTTTCTTGGTTAATGTGAGTGCCTGGTATTGGTGTGAATACCAACAGAACCTGCTGCAGGAGGTGGCATCCCGGGATTTGCTGACCAACATACAGCAGCTCCTGGTAGTTACCCCTCCTGTGCTCAGCTCGGGGATGTTCATTATGGTTGTGCGCATGTTTTCTCTCATGTGCTCCAACTGCCCCAGTCTGGCGGTGCAGCTTATGAAACAAAGTGAGTAAAGACCTCACAGCCGAACCAATGTAGTTCTTCTATTGACGTGTTTAACTCAATAATGCATGTCTACATATTTATCTACCAAGTTGGTGGATTTGACAAGTACAATATTATATAATACGATACACAAGTTGGTGAATTTGACAAGTACAATATTATATAATACTGTATTATAAATACTGTAATTGATTAAAGAAAATCAAAAAAAGCCATGAAAAAAAAATCACGCTCTTGTCATTTGCAAATGAGAATGCTGAAATTGTTGCTGGGCATTTCATTAGCTGCCTCCTTAATATTAGCTTACCTAAGCTAGTCCAACAGATTAACTAACTACAGCAAATACTTTTTTTCCTGACCAGACATAGCAGAAACTCTGCGTTTCCTCTTATGCGGGGCATCAAATGGCAGCTGCCAGGAGCAGATTGAACTTGTGCCACGCAGCCCACAAGAGCTCTATGAACTGACCTCCCTCATATGGTAAATACCTCTTTACTCCTCTTCACACCTACTGTCCCAGCACTCTTCTGTCCTCCTCTACCCCCTACCCTTCTCTATCTCCGCCAGCACTGTTTTCCTAACTTCTGGTCTTCTTTCAAGAGTTCCTTTACGTAACCTCACTATTAATCCTCATCTTGGATAAAAGCGTCTGTTAAATGCATAAACGTAAATGGACTGGACTTTTTCACCACAAGTGTGGTATAAAAACTTAAAATGTATACTAAACTTGAGGTTGTAGCTAATTGATATTTCCCTTTGTAGTGAGTTGATGCCCTGCTTACCGAGGGAAGGGATTTTTGCTGTTGACATAATGCTGAAGAAGGGGAGTGCTCAGGCAGCCGAGGGTGCCATCTGGCAGTGGAGGGATGACCGTGGCCTATGGCACCCTTACAACCGCATTGACAGTCGCATTATTGAGGTATAAACACATGCTATTGTCTTTTAAATCTTAACCACCTGGATTTCTTTATAGTACCTAATGGATGCATAATACTGACTTTGAGTGTGTTTGATGATAATCTGGTCCCACAGACAGCCCACCAAAATGGTGAGGACGAGATCAGCTTGTCAACACTGGGTCGTGTCTACACGATTGACTTCAACTCTATGCAGCAGATCAATGAAGACACAGGAACAGCACGGGGCATACAGAGGAAACCTAATCCGCTTGCTAATCCCAGTACAGGTAAATGTATGTCTCTGCAAATTAGGCCTAAAACTGCATTATCAGTTCTACTACCCTTTGTACTTGCGAGTGTCTGTACGGAACATCAAATCTTTTCAGCAGTAACCCCGACATGTTCACATCTTTCCAAAGGGAGTCACCAAGAGGTTCGTCGTGAAGATGCTCGGGCCCAGTTGATGAAGGAGGACCCTGAACTTGCTAAGTGTTTTATCAAAACTCTCTTTGGGGTTTTATATGAGGTGTACAGCTCGTCTGCTGGCCCTGCTGTCAGACACAAGTGCCTTAGAGCCATCCTCAGGATCATCTACTTTGCTGATGCAGAGTTGCTAAAGGATGTGCTGAGGAACCATGCTGTGTCGAGGTAACGAGTCAGAGGCGGTGTTTACTTCTAACATGCACCAAATGCCTCTTGCTTATTATGCGGGTGATCTAACGTGGGTGTGTTTGTTTGTGTGCTTGTATCCACAGTCATATTGCCTCTATGTTGTCCAGCCAGGATTTGAAGATTGTAGTAGGTTCTCTGCAGATGGCAGAGATTCTCATGCAGAAGCTGCCTGATGTCTTCAGTGTCTATTTTAGAAGAGAAGGTAGGGTAGATTCTTATCTTGTGAAGCTACAATAGAAGCATCAAACACCTGAATTCTGCTGTTTTATATCATGGAACTTTGAGTGATACTGATAATTTAGATGTGTTAAATTGTAAAAAAACAAACAAAAAAAGGCTTCCTATTTGGCGTTGCCGAAGGTAAAAGTGAGATCTGTGTTTAATCGTTATATATTCAATTATATTATTATATTCAACCTTCTCATTAGGGATTATACGGTACACTCAACTCATTACATGATCATGATTGTCATAATTTTTGAATGCAAAAAAAAAATGAAAAAAGAAAAGCAAAATAGCATTACCAACTGAAATAACAGAATATTAAAAAAAACCTTTACAGAAACACTGCACATCACCATTTAAATTTTTATAAAAAGTTTAATGAAATTAGTCTGGTTTTATTTACCTCTCTAGCTGTCAATAAACAAGAAAAAAACAAAAAACAAGAAAATAATTTTTTTTTTTTTTAAATTTACTGAAAATAGCTCCTTTCTTTAGAGAAACACTATAAACACTTTTTGTGTCCTCTTGACACTGAAATACATCCTAAATAACAAAACGAACAATGCAGTTTTAGACCACAGTAAGAGACACTGTTGGTGACAGTGTCTTTAGAGGTTTGAGACGTTTCTTAAAGTCCTCCACATCATGGACGACCCAGTCGTCCAGTGAGATAATGTCGCCTACTCCTTACGATGCATTACGATTCATTTTTAAAAATCAATGAGAATCATCACACACTTGATTTGATTTCGAACCGATTCATGATGCAACAACGCATACTTTTTTTTTTTTTTTTTTACTTCCACAGGCGTAATGCACCAGGTTAAAAACCTGGCAGAGTCCGAGGCGTTTCTAGTCACTAGTCCACCTAAGGCTTGCCCTAGTGGCACTACCAGTCTGTGCACTACTACCATCAGTACTGCTTCTACCACGTCTGCAAATAATGTTACTCCAGACCTGGGCTCACCCAGCTTCCAGCACAGCATGGACGACTCATTGGACCTCAGCCCACAGGGGTAAGTCTCTGACCAGAAGCACAGTGTTTCATCACACGCTTATTGGCACAAGTTTACCATGTGAACGCACTTTATACCCATGTTATGTTTCTACATATAACAGTGAACTAAAGATCTCAGCATGTTGCACACTTCTTTGCTCCAGCCATTCATGATTTACTATTTGCGTTGCATAGGCGACATGCAAATTTTACATTTTATTTATTTTATTTTAATGTATGCAATAGCATTATATTAATGTATTCTTTTCTCCCATCAAGGCGGCTAAGTGATGTCCTAAAGAGAAAACGACTACCTAAACGAGGGCCAAGAAGACCAAAATACTCACCTCCGAGAGATGACGATAAAGTAGACAATCAGGGTAAGATGTCTGTTTTGTATTATTGTATTTAGCTTAAAAAATTGCTTTAATTAGGTCTGTCAATATTAACAAGTTAGCCATATAGATTAGCTTGTGAAATTAATAAGATTAAAAATTTGATTTTTTGGACACATTATCTGAATGACCCACACTATATAAACAATAATTCACCATCCATGGTCCATCCACTTATTGCTTCACTAATACGCAGTAGACATGCCATTTGTGACAATTGCCAAACTCCGATGGACTGTAGACTAATTGATATTGTCAAAGACAAGGGCTACACCAAAGTTTTATAACCAACCCCTGACAACTCTCAGGTTTTTGCTGATTTTTTTTTCCTTGACAATTTCCCCATATTGACCTTTCCATTATATGAATTAGTCACAAATTAAACAAACAAACAACTTTGAAAGACAAACATCTTGATTAATCTCAATGAATCATAAATATTTCTAAATAATTATGATCACGATTAATCCTAATTAATCAATTCACAGTTAGCCTGAGATTAATCAGATTTTTTTTAATTGATTGACAGCCCTACTTTTATTCTGTTGAGAAATAAACTGATGATCAACTTGTTTCCTTGTCAGCTGAAACTTTTGAAGAACATAAACACATTATTCTGCTGCTGTTTACTTAAAAAACCATCTTATATGGCATTTTGTGATCTTGGTTTTATTATTATTTTTAACCCATAGATAATGCTCCTACTCTACCTGGGTTCTTTACAGCTAAGAGCCCAACAAGTACTCAATCTCCCAAATCCTCCTTCTTGGCTAGTCTTAATCCTAAAACCTGGGGTAAACTGGGAGCCCAGACCAACAATTCCAACTCAGAACCCTCACGCACAGCAGGGGTCAGTGGCCTGGCCAGGGCCCCTCCAAAGGATTCTATATCAAATAACAGGTATAGTATGAGGAGTTTTACAAGAGTTCAAACTTCACTTTTTTTTTTCTTTGTGTACGTTTTGTGAACGGTTTGTGTCATTTGCTTTGCAGAGACAAAATAAAGGCTTGGATCAAAGAACAGGCCGGTAAGTTTGTAGAGCGCTACTTCAACTCGGAAAATGTTGATTGCAGCAACCCTGCATTGAATGTACTCCAGAGACTTTGCACAGCCACCGAACAGCTCCACCTACAGGTAAATCTAGCATATAAAAAAAAAACATATAAAAGTGCTGAAAAACGATCAGTCACATACCAGCTCCAAGACATTAATATAATACATTAATAATATATTAATAAATACCCAGATGGACGGAGGTATGGAGTGTCTGTTGGAGATTTCCAGTATTGTATCAGAGTCGGACGTTTCGTCATTTGAGATACAGCACAGTGGAATGGTGAAGCAGCTTTTGGTTTACCTGACCTCCAATATGGATACAGACCTGCTGAGCCGGGACGTCCGTCTAAAGAGGTTCCTCCACGTATTCGCTGGCTGCCCGGTAAGAAATAAAACCACCTGTTCCTATTAAACTGGTTACTCTCTGCACTGTTTGACGGGTAGATAAAGACTGGTGATAAAAAAAAAAAAAAGAATTATTCATCCCTGATAAAAAAAAAAAAAGAATTATTCATCCGTTTGACATCTCTCGGGTTGTGTTTAGATTCCAGGAGTGGAGCCGGTAGGTCGACTGGACCCAGCAGAGAATGGACCTTACCTGGCCCTTGTGCACAAGATGAACAGCTGCCTGAGCCAAATGGAGCAGTTCCCTGTCAAAGTGCATGACTTCCCCAGTGGCAATGGCAATGGAAGCAGGTTTGTACTACGAAATGACTGGTCATCTAATACATTTATTAACATTGCTCTGTGCGTGTTTGGTAATTTGATAAATTCCCTCCACAGGGGTTCTCAAGCACTGAAGTTCTTTAATACACACCAGCTAAAGTGTCAACTGCAGAGACATCCAGACTGCACTAATGTGAAACAGTGGAAAGGCGGCCCTGTAAAGATAGATCCACTGGCCTTAGTGCAAGCTATCGAGCGATATCTGGTTGTTAGAGGTGAGGGACTGTGTGCATAGCTTTGGAAAAGAGACGTTAAACCACAACTTAAAAGATACACCTACTGTTTTTATGCATTTCTTCAGTCGGTAATTAAATCATTTTTACACAGGGTACGGCCGTATCAGAGAAGAGGATGAAGACAGCGATGATGACGGCTCAGATGATGAAATAGATGAGTCGCTGGTATGTGAAAAATTTTCAAGCCAAATATTGCATATGATCAATTTGATCAAGGAGACAGTTGTGAGAGAAGAAGTATGTGCAACTCTGTACAGCAATACCTGAGTACACACATGTATATCCTGGTTCTTCAGGCAGCACAGTTCTTGAATTCTGGCAGTGTACGTCACAGACTACAGTTCTACATCGGTGATCACCTATTACCGTACAACATGACGGTGTATCAGGCAGTACGACAGTACAGTCTTCAGGCAGAAGAGGAGAGGGAGTCCACAGATGATGAGGCCAACCCACTGGGGCGAGCTGGTATCTGGACCAAAACGCATACAATATGGTAATAAAACATGTTTATTTTTTTATGTTCTCAAGTCACATATGTCATATACACGTTATGAGGCAAAACATTTTTTTGCCGATTTATTTTAATGACAGGTATAAACCAGTGAGAGAGGATGAGGACGGAAGTAAAGACAGTGTGGGTGGAAAGAGGAACCGGGCCCAGACTGCTCCAACCAAAACCTCACCACGGAATGCCAAGAAGCAGGATGAGCTTTGGCAAGGTGAGAACCTGAGATGTAAGGAGTTTGTTTTTCTTGGTAGCCCTGATAATGCTTCTGGTGCAGTGTAGCAGTAGACAAAACAAAACTTCCTATTCACCATCCTTTTCCTTGAATTCAAATAAAAAAAAATCCTTTTAAAAACAACATCACAGCTTAACAGCTTTCCAACAGCCCTAAGTTCTGCTGATTTTTTTTTTTTGTTTTTCTCCAGATGGTGTGTGTCCCAGGGTTATTAATCCCTTAGATACATACCTCACTTCAGAGCCTCCTGAGACCATAACCTTCGATGATCCCTCCTTGGAGGTCAACCTGCTGCTGAGGGTCCTTCACTCTATCAGTAGATACTGGTTCTACTTGTATGATGTAAGTGTAAACCTGACCAATTTGCTACAACTTAGCATATGAAAAATGATGATGCTCATAAATATGGAGCTAGAACAGAACTCAAAAATACACAAACAAGGATTCGCAAATGTACTTTGAAAATTCACAAATGCATTTGGAATATTTACAAATGTATAAAAAGAATAAATGCACAAACAAGGAATCACAAATGTATTTTGGAAATTCACAAATGTATGCATGTGAAGATATATATGTATATGTGTATACATGTATATGTATATGTGTATACATGTATATGTATATGTGTATGTGTATACATGTATATTATATGTATATGTGTATACATGTATATGTATACTGTTTGCAACTACCGCAATAGGAGAGGGATCAGTATATGTATATATGTATTTGTGTATGTGTGTATATGTATGTAGATGTATACATATATGTATGTATATATATATATATGCATATGTATATGTATCTATATGTGTATGGATATGTACGTATGTATATCTATGTATATATATATATATATATGTATGTATGTATGTATATATGCATATGTATATGTATGTGTATATTGGTTATAGCCAAGTAGTTAAACAGCATCCATTAGAGACCAACTGCAATTGAAATCATGTACTTGTGTTATTGCTGACTGTGCTCCGGTACTGCTGTACTTCATTTAAACGTTACTGATCAGGATGGATGCGAAGCTAGGTGAAAATAATCGATATCATAAGGCACATTTTGCTTAACGGAAGTAGGTTTTAACCAAACAATAAACAACGTTTTGGAAACACAGGCAAAAGCACAGATACTCTACTCACTGCCACATGCTTCCGCAGGTTTGACGTGGAAGTTTCAAGGATTTCCTTCGCTTTTTAAGCCACCTGCTCCACAGGTGCTATCTGCTTGGCAATCCTTAGCCTCCATTTTTTTTGTTTGGCACCAGCCATCATCCAATGACAGGCCGTCTCTTAGTCAACGCTATCTGGCTACATTAACCCAGTGGAAAATCTGTGCACATGCCCACACAATTTTCTTTAAGTTAACACAGCTTGTTTTTCCCCCTGCATTTAATTTTTTAGTAAAGTCAAATACTTCTGTCAAAATTTTATTTAGGTAAAAGTAAAAATTACCTATTCCTAAAACTACTTAAGAATTACAAATTACTCACAAAAACTTCTCTAACAGTAACCTGAATAATATAATATGGTACTTTCCACCTCTGTGTCTGTGTGTGTTTGTGTGTGTGTGTGTATATATATATATATATATATATATATATATATATGACAGGAAACATTCCGACATGGCTCATTGAGCTCGGAAAAACCTGGTAAACGTTGCATTTATTTGAGATTACAGTGGACCTAGAGAAAATACTCATCTTATGTATTATTTGTTGATTAAGATGATATATTTTAACCTGGTGTCTTGTTGTTCCAGTCCGTTTTTCTTCCCTTTCGACACCCGGCAGATGTTATTTTACGTGACTGCCTTTGATCGTGATAGAGCCATGCAGCGTCTTCTGGACACAAATCCAGAGATCAACCAGTCAGATTCTCAGGACAGCAGGGTCGCACCACGTCTCGACAGGAAAAAGGTGCTTGTAGCATCAGAATGTTTGCAGGTTGAGAAAAAATTCTTGGTAATTTAATGTTATTTTCTTCAAGCTTTTTCTTGATTTGGCATTTTTAGAGGACAATAAATCGTGACGAGCTGCTCAAACAAGCAGAGTCTGTGATGCAGGACCTGGGGAGCTCTAGGGCCATGTTGGAGATTCAGTATGAAAACGAGGTATAGTTTTGATTCTTGTAAATGAATCTAATTGGGACAAGACTATTTTTTACTGTTTTTTTTTTTTATATATGTGGAGTGAAATTGCTTATGGGGTCAAAAGGCCAATGTTCAACCAGATTAATCACAGTATCAAAGGAGGATTAATCCTTATCAATCAAGACTTATCAAAATTAGAGTCATGGAATATTTTCTACATTTTGTTTTCCTTCAAGGTTGGCACTGGTCTTGGGCCAACTCAGGAGTTTTATGCCCTGGTGTCTCAAGAGCTCCAACGGGCTGACCTTGGTTTGTGGCGGGGTGAAGAAGTCACTCTGGCCAATCCTAAAGGTAATAACTTTTTCACCCGTACTAATGAGACTGTCCATGTCATACTGTCTTTGAAATATATTTACTACAGTGAACCTGAGATTTGATTTCTGTCAAGTGAATAACGTAGAACCGAGTTTTTTTTTTTTTCCTATACGAAGTTAGATCCTATACTTTATTCCTTACCGTCTTGCTTGACCTAACTTGTGACAACATGTCTGTTTCTGTCCACAGGGAGCCAAGAGGGAACCAAGTACATGTTCAGCTCCAGAGGACTTTTTGCCGTTCCTTTTGGCAGAACAACCAAACCAGCACATTTAGCCAAAATCAAAATTAAGTTCCGTTTCTTAGGAAAGCTAATGGCAAAAGCCATTATGGACTTCCGACTGGTAATGAATTCTGTCATTGCTTGACAGGCACATATTTCCAAATGGGTCTAGACATTTAATTACGAGTGTGGGTTCTTAATAAATTCTGGTTAGTTATGAGTCTTTCCAGGCATGGTTAAAGTCTATTAACCTATTAAGAATAGAAGGATAAAGTGCTAATCTATCAAGCCTTAGTTGTTTGTTTAGTTCTTCTCACATTAGATTTTGTTCTAGTTTTATGATTAATTGATTTTATCATTAATCTCTGCAGTGAATCCATTTTTATCTAAACCCTGCAATGTCATTTACTCTCTCTTCCCTCAGCTTGACCTTCCCCTTGGGCTGCCATTTTATAAGTGGATGCTGCGACATGAGATGTCTATAAGCTCCCATGACCTTGTAAATATTGACCCTAGTGTAGCCAAGTCCATCCAGCATCTGGAAGATATAATCTGCCAGAAGAAAAGGCTAGAGCAGGACAGATCCCAGGTACAACTTGTTAACATTATTCGTCACGACTTGATTAATGGATGCAACAACTAAGATAACTCTGTTCAATGTTGCCTCCCTATATTTATTCCACAGACGAGAGAAACTTTACAGCAGGCGCTGGAAAGCCTGAATATGAACGGCTGCTCGGTTGAGGATCTGGGTTTGGACTTCACCCTCCCAGGATTCCCAAACATTGAACTAAAAAAGGGTGGCAAAGACATCCCTGTCACGATCTACAACCTCGAAGAATATCTCAGGGTAACTGATGAACACTTCAGTGTTGCAGAACTCTTTCCAGTTGTTAATAACGACTTGACTGTTGTTTGTTTTGTTTTTTTTCTTCCTCACTTTTACTACATTTGTTTCCTTCTCTAGTTGGTTGTTTACTGGACTTTGAATGAAGGAGTCTCCAGACAGTTTGAGTCATTTAGGGAAGGCTTTGAGTCGGTCTTTCCCTTGCATCACCTGCAGTATTTCTACCCCGAAGAGGTAGGTGGCGATTTATTACACAGATTGTGTAAAATTGAACAAAAACAATTGTTTTGCAAGGAGAAAATGACTTTATTCCCATTTGCTCCATTTTCATCTTTTCCCCACTTCCACAGCTCGACCAGTTGTTGTGCGGCAGTAAGTCAGAGACGTGGGACGTCAAAACGTTGATGGAGTGCTGTCGACCGGACCACGGCTACACACATGACAGGTTAGGTCATACCAAAAGAAGCAGTTATAACCTTGAAACAAATAAATTGTTCTTATTGAAACTTTGGCTTGAAAATAGAATAATAAATAGTGATAAAGTGCTTATATTATGAGACGTGTAATCAAACTATCGCTGTAATGAATTTAAACATCTAGTATAATTTTCTCTACAGTCGGGCAGTTCGGTTCCTGTTTGAGGTGTTGAGCAACTTTGACGCCGAGCAGCAGAGACTCTTCCTGCAGTTTGTCACTGGAAGTCCCAGACTGCCTGTTGGAGGTGAGTCTGCCATTTCAGTTTATGTTGCAATTTGTTGGGTTGTGTTGAATGCTGTGAAGGTTAACATTATGAAAAAAACACAATGAAGCAGTAGTAATGCGTTGCAGGAAGGAAATTCAGCTTAATACTCCTGATTGGTCACCTGTCTACAAGCCGTACGCCGCTTCCGATTTGTGTGCTTAGCGGGATGGTGTAGGGGGTCAGCATATATGTTTAAAATAGTTGACACAACTGATCCTGGGTTAGTCAGGAACACTGCAAAAAAAAACCAAAAACATAGCTTTGGCGTTCACATGGTTGCGTTGTCTGAAATTGCAATTTTGATCAGAAAACCATAAATCATTCAGCCCTTGTGGACACCATTGGGCATGGTTTTAAATTGTTGCAATAAACAGACCTTTGCATGAAGAATGGATAACTATTTGTCGTCCCTCATATTTAAGAGAACTAAAAAAAACTACAAAAAACAATGTAATTCCTTGGCCAGTAATCCAAAGATGACAACAGACAATCATTATATATCGTTAACTATTTAGTTGGCGAACAGCCCCAGTTTTGTTAGTTCATGTTACGGGAATGTTGTGTTGTAACTATCTGTTATACTACTATGTTTTGGGTTTGTCATATAATAACCAAGAATGTTATGTTATAACTGGTATGTTGTGTTTATACAGTTATGTTATCTTAAAACACCATCAGCACGAGGAAAGCATCAATTTTTTTTCTTAGTTTAACCTGGACCTCACACTGACCTGCGCAAATGTTTTTCCTTCCTCTCAGGTTTCCGGAGTCTGAACCCGCCCTTGACTATTGTAAGAAAGACCTTTGAGTCAACGGAGAACCCAGATGACTTCCTGCCCTCAGTCATGACCTGCGTCAACTACCTGAAGCTGCCTGATTACTCTAGTATAGAGATCATGCGAGAGAAGCTGTTGATTGCTGCCCGCGAAGGCCAGCAGTCCTTCCACCTTTCCTGATCTCCCCATGTCTCACATTCAAAATGCCTTCTCCAGCGACTGACGACATCCTGACTTCCTTCTTAGTTTTTTTGTAATCACATACATCGGGGCTACGTGTACAGCCTTCTTGTTAGAGAAAGCAGCTTGCAGAAAAATTAAGACATATATATTTGCCCCAAGTCTCTCAAAAAAAAAAAAAAAAAAAAAATGGAAATATATTCCATGACTCACAGGACATGAAATATAAAAAAAGAAAAAAAGAGAGCAAAACTTATCAGTAGTTGAGTAATGTTTAAAAAAAGATGACAACATCTGGGTGACATTTTAAATTGCATTGCTATGTGATATTTAAAAAGGGATGTCTCATCCACTTAGTGGTGGATAACCGGTTGTTGGGTGTCAAGAATCGCAGAGGGCAAGGACTGGGTGGGGCAGGGTTAGGGTGGGTCCATTGAGCAGGCTAGGTTTACTTTAGCTCCAAAGATCATTTGTACAGACAAATTTGCAGACTTTGCTCATTCTATACATTTGATAGAATTAGCTATTTCTTATCGCACCCCTTCCCCCCCACCCCCTCAGTTCATCCATTCACAATCTGTTGTGTATTATATCAGCCCTGTTTTTGGTGTTTGCCTTTCTGTTAAGCTCCCCAACCCTCCCTAGTGTGTCTTTGCTTCGAGTTGTGAAAAGGAGAGTTGCCGTTGGTTGAATGCGGATAGTGTTCAGCTCATGTTTTCTTTACTTTCTGTCCCTACTACCCAAGTTGAGATTGTCTTCTGGCCTCCTTCATTATAGAGAGCTCCAGCTCGTATAAAGAGTTGTAACCGATTTGTTGATCAGGAAAAATTGTTTTGCTCTTATTTTGATAGAGTCTAGTGTCTTTCTGTTGCTCCCTACACACACGTGTAGGGTTATTTTGGAAGGCCAAGCTCTGAGCAAACCCCACAACATGTAATGTAGCTGGACACAAAATTTGGCTCATTTTTATTGGTTAAATGGCCAGATAGCATTTCAAGCTCATTTATGAAATAAAAAGGTTTATATGCAGTTTCACACCCTGTTCAGGGTGGAGATGTCTGCTTTTTCTTTTTCTTTTGTTTTTTTTAATTTTCTATATTGTCTTTATTTCTTGCTGTAGTTGATTTTTTTTTTCTTTGCACTGCTGGCTTGGAACAAACCGTGGTGTGCACCTGCAGTCTGGCCAGGGGAGGGCGCCACTGTATGCTCTCCTGGCCCAATCGTTCATGTGCTGGTTTCTAAGATCTGCAATAATTTACTGCGTCAGGTTCATGTTTTTACCTGAACATAAATAAAGTAACTGTTTGACTCAGTTTGGTTTATTGCTGTTTTTATTGGAGGTGGAAGCTACATTTTCATCTGGTGATATTTTATTTATATGTCATCTTAAGGAATGTTAATCCTTCCTTTTTTTCTGTTTTCTGAGGAATATTTGATGTCATCTTAAGGAATGTTAATCCTTCTTGATTAATGATAATCATCTTCATCAGTTCTTTTCAACTGAAGAAGCCTCTTGGATGAGAGGTGAAACGTCTACAAGAAACCTACTTCGTCCAGTTGCCCTCAATGTAATTATTTTTGGATGACAGAACTGACACTAGACCTTTAGGTACAATATACTGTATTTTTTCTTGGTCCCCATGTGCATAACGAATTTAAGAAAAGTCAACTAAAGACTAAACTCTCCAGTCTCAAAAAAAAGGAAATATTTTGGATGTGCTGGAGCTAGAACAAAACTGGAAAGGAAAATTTAACTGCAGACATTGGGCACTGATACCTTCCAGTGGACTCACCACCTGCAGGAAGGTTTGGGGGGTTGGTACGGTGCAATGTGATTTGGGCAGCGACTGCTGCCCCCGCGACCCGGTAACGGATAAGCGGATGAAAATGGATGGATGGATGGACATTGGGCACTGGTGTGTTTCACAGTAAATCGAGAAAAGAACAATTAAAGAACAGCGTTGGCGCGATTTGCAGCCACGGTTTTCCTGACGTAATAGGATGCTGTTGACTGCACACACACAATGCAATAAAAGCACCGTGCTACGATCAATGTGTTTTTGTTAATAGTAAAGATGTCCATTCCAGCAATATGAAAATCGTCTGTGATGCTCAAATGCAGCGCACTAACATGTTGGGGTGGTGGCCTGGTTCAACATGGTGACCATATCATTTTTACCTCGGCATGTGTGCGCTGCCCCAACATAGCGGCGTTTATGGCCTTACACTCACGCGCGCACGCACCTGCGGACAGGTCACCAAATAACACAGCGTGCTCCTTTTCCTGTTCATATATATACCTGCGGACAGGTCACCAAATAACACACTACTCCGCTTCTATATAATAAATTCGCGTGCAGACAGGTTGGTCTTACAGTCCACCTCACTAAAAAGAATCTCTAGTTCAGCTTCAGTATAATAAAGTCGCGTGCAGACAGGTTGGTCTTACAGTGACTTTCAGGACTCCCTTCTCTTTTCACAATAGTTCCCCCCCTCCCATTTGCTGCATGTTTGCGGTCATTGTCCTGCCGTGAAATAAATGTTGGGGCAGGTGCCCGTCTCATGCTACGTACTGAGGTGGTGTACTGATGGTGAAATGATAAAATTGCCTTTTTTGTTGTTAGGTCTCAGACCAACTGGCCACATTTGTTGACACTTCATTTTAGAATTGTAAGAAGTGTCTCTCCCTCCAGGTCATGACGTGCTTCTTCGCGTCGTCTAAGGACTGAAATTCAGTGTCTTTCAAATGATCTGATACTTCTGATCAAAACCTATTGCAAAGCTTTGATTATTTTTAAATTTAATTTTATGTTTGATGCTTGCTCAAACTCAAGATTTAGAGTTAGAAAACCTAGAAAACCCTTTAGAATAAAATATGACACAGATGAACACTTCACCTGATGAATAAAGAAATTGTGTTGGTTTTTTTTTTTTTAGGACTTTAAACTGAGCTTATGTATATCAGAAACAGATAAATCAGGGCAAGACTTCATCCTCTTCTTCCTTTTTCTTTCTTATTTTCCTTCTCTGCTCATCTTCCTGCTCCCCCTTTCCTTTCTTGGAAGCCTAGCTTCAAGGAGAGACTGTGGATGATGAGACTGTAAATGAGAAGAGCTCTGCTACTCTGAGAGAGAGAAAGAGGGGAGGTGGCGGTGGTAGGTGGGTGGAGGTGGAATTGGGGGGAGTGTGGGGCTCATTGTCGTCAGCTACTGTCGTCACTGTGACTCAGAGACTCAGCAAGGGTAGCAAGTCCTCCTCCTCCCCTTCCTCCTCCTCTTCCTCCCTCTTCCTGCATCCCTACCTTCTCTCTTCCAGCCTCCTCACCATCAGTCAGCTGTTCTCTCTGCGTGTCTGAAGATCATCATCCTCGCAGCCTCTCTCACTCTTTCTCTATCTCTCCCCTCTCAGTTCCTCACACACCTCCTCTTAGTGGCCGCTGAGCTCAGTCGGCACGACCAGCAGCTCTGAGCAAGGAGAGGAGAAAGATACACACGATTATCACCCTGACAGGAGCAACATGCGGATGGTGGTGTGCAGTGTTCCGGCAGGTTCCTGCCATTTCACATCCTCACTGCTTCTGCTGGTTCTGAGCAGCATCAGCAGTAGGAGCATCAGCATCGGCAGCTCTGAGGCTGTCCTCTCACCCTTCCAGCTGCCTCCTGACACCCCTGCTCCAGCTGAACCTACACCAACCCAGTACACACCTCGCCCAAACCCCTGCGAAGGCAGACCCTGCCTCAACAGGGGGCTGTGCCTGGTGGTCCCCTCAGCTGACCAGTCGGAAGACACCTGGGACTACACCTGTACCTGCAACCAGGGCTTCACAGGACGCAACTGTGAGGTATGGACACCTTCACTATCTATCTGAATTTGAGGGACTAGAGATCTGATCAGTTTGAAGACGGATGTGATTAAGAGTAAACGGTAGTAGGTCATCAAATGAGACCAGTGGTCCGGACTACATACGTAGTTACAATAGGAATAAGGCTCTGATTGACTGAACCGTTGAATGAGTAATAGTTGCAGGAGAAGTGCTTGGTCTATGTGTGTGCGTGACTGTGTGTCGGCAAGATCTGTTTTGATTTGGGATCTTCTTCTGCTTTAAAGCATGTCTTTTTCACAACTCTCTGTCCTCATGGGGGCAGAATATCATTGCTGATGCATTGGTTTTGACTCACTGGCTCCGCAAAATAACTAGTTAGGTTGAATGTTAGGGATGGGGTTTTGATAAATCAATATTCAATTGACGTCAGTGAAGAGGCTAAATATAAATAAATGCCCCCTCCCTTCCCCACAAGGCCATGTCATGTATAAATAGTAACTGCTCTTATAGTATGAAATATTTCAAAGCACATTTACTGGGATAAAAAACTATTCTTTACATTTGACAGGAAAATACTGCGGTCAAGATTTTGTTTGGCGAGTTATACATTTAAAGTCACTGGGATCTATTGCCATCTTAGTGATGTAATAACTCCACCCCCCTGGCCCCCCTCCTCACCACCACCCCAAATATTACATTAAGTGAAGGTGAAAGCGTGTGTCTGCGTGTTTTGGTTCGTATCTACCATGTGGTTATTGATGACGTGTTAGAGTGCGGTCCTGCTCTCTGCTGATCATGGATGTTTTTTTTAGAAAATTTTTTTTTATCGTGTGTCACTGAGTTGTGGAGACAAGTGCTGCGTTGCTGTGGCAACAAGAGGAAAGGAGGAAGACGTGAGCGTTAACTGTGGATGTGCATGTGTATGTGAACTTTTTTTTTTAACACTTGATTGACGAATGTAAACGGATGTGCGGTAACACTTTCAATTTTTAATTAGTTTAAAACATAGATTTTATTTAATGTGTTATGTCCTCATCATGAAATACTGCCGTTCACTTTGCAGCCCTTATTGTTTCCTTTAAGCGTGCCTATTAATTACACTTGCATTATTCTGTTCAACTATTTACCTGGAAATCGAGAGAATTATAAAACATAAGATTATCTGCACAGAGTAACACTAATGAATGCCATCCATATGGCAAATATTTCCTGTGCACCAATGATTCATTTGCACCATCAGAAAACTAAAGAATTTGGTGTGAATTGGTGAATCGGTTATATTCAGTTATAATCCAATACTGTTATCACCCTCTGTTAAAAGTGCAAATAATGACTGTGCTTAAAGAAGATGATTAAGAAAACCACTATTAGACTTTGTTTTAATGTTCCTTTTAATACCCCTATATTTCATCCACATCCTCATTTTTTGTTATTCCTCTGGCATTCGTTTTACCTTCACAGTCCTGAATATTTTAGGTTTTTGACTTTTTCTTTTTCAAGCAAAATCACTTCCTCTGGCTAGGCTGCCTTACAGCCATTCAAGTCCAGCAAAAGCCCATTGTGGCTGAACTTTAGTAGAAATAAGCTTTGCATGCAGCCAGACCTCCTGCAAGTCATGCTGACATAATAGAGAGACATCGCATTCAGTAGCAAAGAGGATAAATGAGTTTGCTGCGCCTTCAAAGACAAAGGACAAAATGACAAGGGTGAAGTTAGTTAGAATCACCAACAGGTGACAGCCATATCCTCCTGTTTAGTTTTCATGAACACATACTGTAATAGCAGGGGTCGGAACCTTTTTAGCAGAGAGCCAAAAAGTCACATATTTTAAAATATATTTCTGTGAGAGCCAACAATTTTTTTCTAAATGTGTGAATTTTGAAGACCAATAATTTTAGGGTTTGGTTTTGATGCATTTGGCTCCAGAGCAAAAAAATAATGTATGGATTAAAATGTCTAACGGAGTTATAAATGTGTGTTATAAATGGTTCCACTTGTCATACAGATTAGTTTATTACACACCACGTTAGAAAAATCTTAATTTATCATACGGTCATTTAATGCAAAACCCCTGTGGATTAGACTCGTGAACCCCGGGGAGCAGCAGTTGGCTCTGCCGTCATTCAACTTATTTGATATTTTCAACGCGAGACATGTCTCTGTTTTGCTACAAAATGGACTGACTTTTTATGCCAGAAATAAAGGATGACATGCTAAGCTGACGATTTTACCACAATTATTTACCACTATGCAAAGAGAGTAAGCAGCCACCGCAAATTTATTTGGAGCATTCAAACCCTCATCTTTGTTTGCAGTTCGTCCCAGTTTCATCTCTCTCAGAATAGTCGCTAACCTCTGACTGTAGCCTACTTCAATTCCCTCTCTGCTCACAAACCATTGAGGAGAACAACGGTGACACACAAAAGCTCAAAGCAATCACACTGACCGTAGCTTTATGCATCGTAACACGCCAACGTTCAGCTTATGGCCATTTGGTGAACGGTGGAAGAAAGGGAGAAAGACAAGAACAGGCAGAGAACACAGAACTGTGTCAAGGAATGAAAAGTTTGGGGAAAAAGACATCACTCATTACACTCATTGTAAGAGTGATTGTTTTTTTTTTTACTGATTATCTGTGTGAATGGTGCATGTTTTTCCGTTTTTTTTGGTATTTTTTAAATTCTTTGTGGCCCTTTGTCCACGTCGTAGCCTTCCCTTGCCTGTTGACTTCTGGGATTGGCTCCAGCAACTCCTGAGAAACCTTGGAAGCATTAAACGGCAGACGGTGATTTAAAAGTGTCTTTCACTTTGCTTTGCTTTCATTGACCTTTCAATGTTTATCTTTACTAAACTTACGTCATTGTTCTATCAGAGATGACCTATTGACTGACACTGAGAAAAAGAATCAACTGCTACCATAGAGTAAGATTGAGTAAAAAGTCACAATTATTTTAGCATCGTAAAATAACGTGAATACATTTTGTTAATTGATAAAGGTGCGCTGTATGTAAGTATGAAGAACATTTTCAGTGGACCCCCCCCAGCTATCCCTCGATCATCATTCAGCTGTCGACCTTGGGTCATCTCTTCAATTCTTCTTCTTCTTCTCCCACTTTTGTGCATTTTAATCTGAATAAATTGTAATGCTGCAGCAGCAGTGAACATAAGGGGAAAACCAATTCAGTCTACTCGTTAGTGCAGCTAACTTTGAATAATAACATGCGGCCATGCCTTTACTGGAAGGCAGGATGTAAGATGTGTGGCTGTAAATCACTGCCCTGACTCTGTGCTGTGACTGATTTTCTCCTGGCTCGGCGGTCATTTATTATTGAGATGCCTGTTGTGCTCCCTGATGGATTTGGTAACATGCTCCACTTAAGGCCCGTGGCAACACTGAACAACTATTTACCATGAAGCCAGTCTAGGCAACTTGTACTACTCAACCTCCAGTTTTATAAAGCACTGTATCAAATAATTTTCAGAGTGAAATTAGGTTTATGGCCTCTGGTGTGACAGAGAGAGAAAACATAATTCTTACTGTTATTTTGAAAGGGGGGAAACTAACTAATGTGTTAACTATAATCTGATTACTTTTATCAAGTAATGAGTGAAGTAAGAGATTACAATTGCAAGAATAGTAATTCGATTTCTGTTCCTTTCCATCAGATATGCTGCGATACTGTTACTAATCCATGAATTTGTTTGTGGGAGTGATTCATGGCAGTCATGTCACAGTGTGACGTCAGTGGTAACAGCTGCATCTGACAAAGGAGAACATGGAGGCCGGGACAGAGCAGGACTACGGAGTTTTAATGTGTGGAAATACCAACATTAGTGGTCGCTGTACACTCTAGGAAGACTCTAGGAAGACAAATTTTATCTACAGTGAAAAATTCCACATCAAATCTGAGCAAGCACCTAGCAAGCCGGCCCAAGAATGTGACATTCATTGGGAAACCCTCGGATCCTCACATTCAGTTTCACCGGGCAATCTTTAGATGACCCTCTCCTGCTAAACAGGTTAAAATAGACATAAGAGCGACTGGACTTAATGCAGCTGAACTAAAGAAGCTTGTTGCTGGCTATGTTGTAGAGGAAATGTTGCCATTTTCCATCGTAAACTCCGAATCATTCATTGTTTTGAGAGGAACAATGTTAGAATTTGAGGAAACCAGGAGTTGCAGACAAAATGTGCTGTAATAGCTTCCTATGTAGTACACTTACATTGTAATGTTAATAATGTATACATTTGTACAAACCGAGCCCATTTTAATATAATGCAATTATATTTGTGTGATCAAAGACAGCTTAAAACTCATGCTCTATCTTCAGTTTCTTTGATATTTCTGGCTTGTCTGTAAAAGTTCTTGTGTGAGCTCTTACATTCAGCGACACAAATTCTGTTCTCGGTGACAAGGTAAAGTACTGCAGTTTCCACAGTCTACCTGAAAAGACAGGAGGTTAACTGCTGTATTGTGGGAAACATAAATCCTCCACTCACTCGGTACAGATGGTTTTGCAAGAGATTGTTACTATGGCAACAGGCTGATCATAACCCTTTGATACTGTTGGTTATAACATCAGCAAGGAAAAAAAGAAGAAAACCTTTCATCACTGCCCATCATTCTGATGATTAAACAAATCCATCACTCAAGTTATTTCCATATCACACATCATCTGGCCTTTAATCTGATGCGAGAAGTAAGGCCTGATGAATGTGTGCGAGGCAGACCCAACATCAAATGACTCCTCCAGACGTGTTAGTCCATGGGTTGCATTTTCTTTGACTTACCCAACTCATTGCAACATATTTATTTATACTAACGGTTCTCAAACTATGTTACGCAGACTACCGGTAGGACTTAAGCTCCCTCAAGTGGTATTTGACAATAATGTTAGTTGGTATACACAGCCATTGTATTTCCCTTCCGGTTCTGTCTGTGTGGTTTCAGAATTGAATTAGGCACCAGTTGTGGTGCTATTCATTCTGATTATTTTTACTTTATACTGTATATTCC